GAGAGGACACTTTCCTTCATGTGTGAGAGCCAGTGTGGTGTAGTGGTTAAGAGCGGTAGTCTCGTAATCTGGGGAACCAGGTTCGCGTCCCCGCTCCTCCACATGCAGCTGCTGGGTGACCTTGGGCCGGTCACACTTCTTTGAAGTCTCTCAGCCCCAATCACCTCACAGAGTGTTTGTTGTGGGGGAGGAAGGGAAAGGAGATTGTTAGCCGCTTTGAGACTCCTGAAGGGGAGTGAAAGGCGGGATATCAAATCCAAACTCCTCCTCTTCTTCTACCCTGTCCATAGCCACCATGAATTGGCTAAGGGAGACAGGTGCAGAACTATAACCTGGTTCATAGCACAATCCTAGGCTTGTTCACTCAGATGTAAATCCCACTGTATTCAGTGGTTCTTAACACAGTTAAGTTTGTTTAAGATTGTGGAGACAAACTACAAAGCTGCCTTATATAGCATAATGTCAGGTCATTGGCACAGACCAATGTGGGGAACCTTTGGGACTCCAGATGTTACTGAACTACAAGTCCCATCAGTCCCAGCAAGCATAGCCAGTGGCTAGGGATGATGATAGTTCAGCAACACCCGAAGGGCCAGAGGTTCCCCACACCTGGTCTATGTAGTCCAGGATTGTCTTCTCCAGCCGTACCATGTTGTGCCCTCCAAATGTTTGGGGCTGAAACTCCCATCACCCTCAGCCAGGGTCCCAAAGTCAGCAGCTCTCCATAAACTCAGGCAAGACCCTTCCCTCTTCTGCAACCTGGGATTCTTTTAATTGATGATGCTGGAGATTGAGCTCAAGACTTTGTAGATGCAAGTCATGCACTGGGGCACTTTTCTTTTTTCTCATTTGGTGGAAACACTGAACACGTCACTCTTGTGACACTCCCAGTTCCTTTCCCTTTTAGCATGTTGGAGATTTCAAATGCAAAATGCCAAAGTGCAACAGAGTCAAAGTTTTTACTTAAAAACTAAACCATAATGCTTCGTGTGCTTTTCTCTGTGGGTTATTTTTTTTTTAAACCCTTAAATCCTGGTTAGTCATTTCTATGCTAAAACTCTTATCTCCTACTCTGCACCTTTACAGCATCTTACATCATTGTTAATATTTCTCCTTTGAGGTTTTAGTCAGTGCTGTTAGCACTATGTATAAATATGAGTAACCCTTCCCAAAAAAAAGTGAAGTGAGAAGAACTGCAGATTTGCTCGCAAACCTTATTTGCAAACAGGAAGCGAGGCCCATGGCCATTCTGGAGAATTATAAGGCAGTGAAACCCAAACAAGTAATATTCTCAGCAGAGCTGAAAGCATTCATCACTTAATCTGTGGAATCTGTTCATTAATCATAGATTTTAAGCTCTGGAATTTCTCATCCCTCTCTGCAAAGTCTTGTAAACAACCTGTGCACATTAAACCATAACCCTGCCCATGTAGTAAACAGAAACAAGTAATTATTATTGAGTAAATGGCCTCATAAGATCAAAGGCAATGAAGTTTCATTGTACTAATTATTAAATTGTTAAATGCATACATTAAGTTACAGTCACAACTTCCTTGTGAGACAGGATAAGAACCTCCTTCTCTGATTCAGGCTAAAGGTTTGCTTAGGCCAGGTGTTTGGAACCTCTGGCCCTTCAGATGTTGCTGAACTACAACTCCCATGTCCCGGCAAGCATGGCCAGTTGCCAGGAATGATGGGAGTTGCAGTTCAGCCCCTCCCCCTCTTAAATGTGAATGCAACCTGGATCAAAAACACCAGACAGCCAACCTAACAGCTGCCAAAGAATTATAACAAATAACCATAACCTCCCCCTATTCATTATTGACTTCAAAATTCTTTTAAGTAGTGAATGGGGGGTTGTAGGGACTATCATCGTCTGATTTCCCCCCAAAGCAATTTATGATTTAATAACCCTTGGCATTAATGCTGTCCTTTGTTTTTGTTAATACAGTGGTACCTCGGGTTACAGACACTTCAGGTTACAGACTCTGCTAACCCAGAAATAGTGCTTCAGGTTAAGAACTTTGCTTCAGGATAAGAACAGAAATCGTGCTCCGGTGGCGCAGCAGCAACAGGAGGCCCCATTAGCTAAAGTGGTGCTTCAGGTTAAGAACAGTTTCAAGTTAAGAACGAACGGAATGAATTACTTAACCCGAGGTACCACTGTAGCTCTCAAAGGAGCTGTCCAAAAGACAGTGAACTTTAAGAGATTTGCATCAGTGAAAATTGGGGTCTGTTTTCCTTTTTATCTTGTTCATTTGGGGTGCTTTTCCTATTTTTTCTTGCACTCCCATAGTTTGGGAGCCAAGATTGTAGGTGTGTGTGTGGGGGGGGGTAAGCAAATATTTTTAAGTTTACTAGTCAGCAGTCTCAGTTTTGGCTTCTCCTTGCATATCATTCCTTCAACTGTAGTCACCTTGATTTTTTTTAAAAAAATATTTCCCCAGAAATAATATTCTTCTATGCTACAGAACAGAATGTAAACCCTAACGGTCACTAGGACAATGTGGAGGGCAGTTCAGTAGAAGTAATCTAGGCTCTGTGGAAAATAACATAAAAATAAAGGCCCTGCAATCAGGGGCGTATGAAGTGGGGGGGGGCGGAAGGGGCGGGCTGCCGTGGGTGCCACTTGAGGTGTGTGTGACAAGATGGCCCCTGCCTCCCCCCCAGCTGTAGAGCAACCAAGGGTGCACACAGTCGGTATGAGCGCCGCTCACACGGCATCCATACGGGCTGCCGCTCTTGCACGCCGTCCATATGGGCGTCTGTATGGGATGCCTCTCGCACGGCAACCGTACGGGCTGCCACTCATGAGCAGCGGCCCATATGGAGTGCGCACGCGTGGCAGCCTGTATGGTTGCCGTGCGTGTGTCACCGGGCGGTTTGCCCCGCCCCTCGGCGTCCCACCCTGGTTCCGGAGAGGGTTCTTCCGCTACTGCCTGCAAGCGCTGTGAATCATGCTTTGTAGGACTGACATCAAATGCCACAAGCAACCAAGCAGAGATGCTCAGTTTTCCTGTACACCAAGGAATGTGGATTTCTCTAGTATTCACTGTGCTGCCTATGCACCAGCTGAGCAAACATTTTATTCCCCCAGATTACAAATATCATTATTCTGTTGCTAGGACTGTATACTCCACTGGCTTTAGACAAATATTCCTTACAAGTGTACGTGGTGCTTATCACATAGCACAGACATGGTATAGGAAACAGAGCTGCATTGATTTATATTCTTGAGGTAAAAAATGTTTTTCCCCTTGGTTTTTTTTAAGGGCAAGATATCCAGGGGGTGGGGTGGATTGCCAAACAGTGAAATTTCTCTCACACACTCCCCAGGTGTTGCAGGCATTTATAGCCTCTGGCTTTCCTTACGATTATTGCTTTAGTGCCATTTGTGTTTACCTGGGATTTTGTCTTCTGTAAGTGATCCCAACCTATCAGGAAATGTAAATGGAATGTGATGACATCACTGTGGCACAAAACCTATCAAATTTTGGTGACAACACCACTGAGGGCAAGCAAAGCCAATCCTTTGGACTGGTGATGGGAGGAAAGGCCACTCTGAGCCAGAGCAGAGAGGTGAGAGTTTTGTGCCCTCCTGGGCCTGCACCCTTGGTGGCAGCCAAGCTGCCAAACCCTAGGTATGCCCCTGCCTGTCCTACCTACATTTCAGATTATTTATTCTTGGGGGAGGGAGATCTGGGACAGGATATAGACAGATTATTCTCTGCAGGTGCACATGGTGTTCTATATTTAGTGCAGCAACCTCTGTTTCCCAAAACACCAATTCTTCTTCTTCTTCTTCTTCTTCTTCTTCTTCTTCTTCTTCTTCTTCTTCTTCTTCTTCTTCTTCTTCCCCTGTGAAAGATCAAGTATATGGAGAAAGCAGAGTCAGGATTCAATATGACCTTCTGTTGAAATTCATTTAGTTAGTTTGCTCTTCAGCTTTGGTCAGACCACACCTGGAGTCCTGTGTCCAGTTTTGGGGGCCACATTTTAAGAAGGATATTGACAAGCTTGAATGTGTGCCGAGGATGAGGGCCGAGATGATCGAGGGTCTGGAAACCAAGCCTTATGAGGAACGATGGAAGGAGCTGGGTATATTTTGCTTGGAAAAGTGGAGACTTGAGGGGAGATATGATCGCCAGGGCCGTCTTAAGCATATCCGGCGCCGTGGTGCAAAGCTCCCTCCGGTGGCCCCCCCAGTTTCCCAGAGTTTTTTTAAGGGAGGACAGCACTGCCGGGGGGGGGCTAGAGGAGGAGGGCAGCAGCTGGAGGGTGGCTCCTCCGGCGGGGAAGAGGCAGAGGCTGGACGCAGCACCTCCCAGCTCAGCTGGCTACTTTGTGCTGTGGTGGCCATGGCAGATGGAGGCTATGGGTGCGGCGCTGCTTCGGCGTGGCATGGCGAGGGTGGCGAGCTGATGCTGGGAGGCGCTGCGTCCAGCCTCCTCCTCTTCCCTGGCACCCTCCAGAACTTGGCACCCCGTGCCACTAGCCTCTATGGGTAAGACGCCCTTGATGATCACCATCTTCAAATATCACATAGAAGATGTAGAAAGCTTGTTTTCTCCTGCTCTGGAGGATAGGACTCAATCCAATGGCGTCAAGTTACAAGAAACGAGATTCCAACTAAACATCGGGAAGAACTTTCTGACAGAGCCGTTTGACAGTGGAATAGACTCTCTCGGGAGCTGGTGGTTTTTAAGAAGAGGTTGGATGACTATCTGTCCTGGATGCTTTAGTTGAGATTCGTACATTGCAGGGGGTTGGACTAGATGATCCTCGGGGTCTCTTCCAACTGTACAGTGTTATGGTTCGCTCTCAGCACATGTGTAAACACAACACAGAGAAACAACTTCGCCTCTTGAATCGCCATAATTGCAATGGTGAGCGCGCTTCCTCCTCCTCCTAATTCTCCAAGCGGCGCGGGATATTTTTCTCGCGCTCTCTCCCGGGAGGCGTCGCGCTGCCGAGCAGAACCTGCGAAAGGGAATCTCCGAAGATGACTCATCCTGGCGGCAGGGAGGAAAGGGAGCCCATCCTGATCCTCGCACCTACCGCAGGGACCGACAAGTGTGGCGAGAGGCTCGCGCCAAAAGCCTGGGATCGAGGTGCGCGCGCGGGCTGCTCCCTCCTCTCCCCGCCCCCCCCCCCCCAGTTCCCCAAGACGCGCGCAAGGGCGCGTTCCTCGCCTAGCCCTTGCTTCTGTACCTTCATTCAGCGCAGCAGCAGCAGCAGTGCCTGATGGGCGTTGTGGTTTCCAGCAAGGCTGACACGCAGAAATCCCAGGGGGTCCTCGGATGGTGAGCATGTGCAGAAGAGGCCAGGATACAGCCTTGTGTACGCCGAGCTAGCCGGCGCGCGCGCCCGCCCGCAGGATAATCTCGCCTTCGCCGTGCCATGCCTCTGCATGGGTTGCAGCCGCTGAGAAGGATCCGAGGAGGAGGCGGAAAAGCAGCCTGCCCGCCTTTCTGATCAGCCCCTCCGATGTTTTCTTGCTTCTGCTTCAGCATCCAGAACCATTCCTTCAGCAGCTCGGCTCTGCCAGAGTAAGTGTGCCTGCTTTCAGTGGCTGCCCCCCGGCTGCCTACCCCCCCGTGATGAATGGCAACGGTATGCTTTTTGGCCAATGGATACGTTGCTCAAACCCTTTGCATGGAAGGCAGGTAGGAAAGGAAAGGGGGGGGGAAACATGCCCCCTCCCGTAGTCATCCTTAAATTACGAGCCGGCCGAATTGCAACACAATAAGCGAGCAACCTCTCTCTACGTGCAGGGAGTAGTTAACTGTTTACCAGCTGGACGCGCCTGGCAACCTCTAGTACGGGTGTCAGCACTGGTGCAGATGGCGGGGTTCCTGCTTTTGATTCGCACGGTTCTGCAGAGAGGAGTTTTATGCCTAGGGCACGCCTCGAGAGAAAAGAAGGTGACGATCCAGCTGGTTGTAGATCGGGGCGAGCCAGTACGTGAGGGTTAGGAGAGCACATGAGCTCTGTAGCAAGTGACGGCGGGGGGGGGGGGGGAGAGAACCACACCATAAAGCATGTTTTAAGGGGAAACCGCTGAATTCCTGCAGATTTCCCCACCCCACCCCTCGCCTTGTTGGGAGTTAATGCACAGTGTGGGGGAAAAATGCATGCATTTGTTTTATTAATGACCCCAGATTTTATTTTATTAAAAACCCCTTGATGCTGCTTTCCTTCAAGGTGTCGTTTTCATATCTGAATATTGCTGAGTTTATTGCGAGCTGCAGTTGTGGATCCCTAGAGCATGTGCCATGCCTGGAATATTGTGGTCTATTTTTGCATCACGTCCCCCCCCCCCGTTATATTTTTGGAGCTAGGAAACATGAGGGTTCAACAAGGTCAGGAGCAGGGAAACAATTTATGGATTTGTTTACGTGTGGGGTACAGTTTTCCATTGTGGAAATGGTGGGAACGCAACAAAATACATTAAACACATGCATAAAGGTGTGTTTTCGAGACTAAATTCCTGCAGGAGAGATTACATGTATTGTTTCATTAGCAATAAGCAGTGCTGCCAGCAGGTGCTTCTGAAAAGTGGGAGTGCTACAAGGCCTACACATTGTGCCAAGTCAGACCCTTACCCCATTGCCCCTCAACTCCACCCACACCAAGCTCCTCCCACTTGCCCTATCCAAGGTCTACCTGTGCACACCTGTTAGTGTGTGACATAGCCAGGATTTATTTGGGGTGGGGTGAGGTTTATGTTAGGAGGGGGACAGAACTGAGTTATCTGCAACACAAATGGTCAATAGGGGGGGGGGAGCTGCCCTCTGCCCCTCCTGGCTACGCCCATGGATAAATGGAACCAGAACCAGTTTGCTTCTGAATGACAGGCGCTGGGGAGAAATCGGTTTCCCAGGTATTTGAGGGTGCTGCTGGACACGTCAGATGGGGGGTTAGTGAACAGGGTCTTTTTGTGGGTTGGGGCAGGATGGCAAATCAGATTGTGACTACAGTAGTGGCCAAGTGGAAGTTAACTTCCCCCCTGTTTTAATCACCCCCCTTCTATTTAGGGGGAGAGACCTTGCATATGTGACATGTATGCTTTCCCCCAGCAAATAAGGTGTTGGTGGTGTTGTATATAAATCTGGAAAATTGTGTTTGTGAGGGTTGGGTGGAGGGTTTAAATCTCCCCCTCACAGCAGTATTGACCGTAATACGATTCCCCCTTTCTCCTGTAGGTAGGGGCTTTAATTTTTGTTATTTTTAAAGGTGGGAAATCCTGTTGATCTATAGATTGCCCCCTGCATGGGGCAGAATCATAGAATTGTAGAGTTGGAAGGGATCACAAGTGTCATCTAGTCTAACCCTCTGCAATGCAGGAATCTTTTGCCTAATGTGGGACTCAAACCCATAACCCTGAGATTTAGAGCCTCATACTGTACCAGCTGCCTGAGAGAGTTTCTCAAAGCATATGTTACTTCTAGACTTGCTGATATGCCATGCTACAACCTTCCAACCCATCCACCAATTTTCCAGTGATCAAAAGGAGAACAGTGGTACCTCTGGATACGCACACTTCTGGTTGCATATCCTTTGGGTTACGCACGCGGCAGACCCGGAAGTATTTTTCCAGGGTTCCACCATGCGCGTTTGCGCAGAAGTGCTCTATGCGCCGCGCTCATGCGCAGAACGGGCACCTCCGGTTGCGAATTCCTCGGGATCTGACCGGAGCTCCAGAATGGATTCTGTGCACCACCGGAGGTACCACTGTACCAGTTTTGGAAACTTTGGAAAACAAAGGTTGCACTGCCTCAGATGGCTCTTAAGAAGATTAGAAAACCTCAGAGAGGAAGGATCCATCAAGGGCTACTAGCCTTTGGAAACTCCATTTTCAGAGACATTGTATCTCCGACCCAAGCACTAAAGCCAAGCAGTTACTACTTTGTATCCTCCCATTTGCTGACACACCTCCTATTTGCTTTTAATTGCTTTCCCTCTAAAAAAAAAGTTTCGAAGTTCACAAGGCTCAGAAGGAGAAATAAATTCAGGCATCTTCAGAAAGCAATTCTGTAGCAGCTGAAGATGTAGGACACCTCCAAACAGGGCCAGCCCAACTGTTAGACAGAGGGAACAGACACTCTGGGGCAGCCCCTGGCTGTTCCTTCTGACCACCACCACTCTACCCATTATAGAGCAGTGCTTGCTACAGCTGGCAATGGGGTGGTAGTTGGTTGTTTGTAGCTTCACGCAGCACCACGTCTTGGAGTGGCCTGGTTTCCTGGTGTTTTAGTTTTCATTGAAAATCGGCTAGAGCGGAGAAGCTTCCCCTGTATGCCAATTTCCCCATTTACATTGCCTGCCCACCCCCCACCCCCAAGCTGCCGTTGGCTCTGCTATGGGACATACTTGCATAGTTGTGCGCTTTTCCCAGTGGCAAAATAATGGCAGCTTTTAGGGGGCTACCACAGATCAAGAAAACTGGCAGAGGGGAAAGGATCAAACTCTTGCAAGTGCCATTGGCCTGAATACTTAAAACTCAGTCTCTGGTGTCTTGTGCTATTCAGCCTTAAATGGTAGGTGCCTCAGAGTGGCAGAACCTGAAAAAGACTAAAGCAAAATAATAAGTAGGTAAATGACAGTCACTTAGTTTGCATACATGTGTGCTGACCGTAAATGATTATTTTTTTTATTTGTCCTTAATTTTTTTGTATGTCCTTGGCAGACTTCCCCTCCCCCTGACTGTAATATAGTGGTTCTGCTTTCTGGGTTTTCTGTAAATCAACCAGCGTGTAATTCTTTATTCTATAATGCTATCCTCCAGGGTAGGAAACCTTCCCCCCACCCGAGGGTGACATGTGGTGGTTCATGGATAGTTGGGGGGGCATCTGTTCCCCCCCACCTCTCTGACACACATTATTTCTCTCTTCCGGTCAGTCTGGGGATGCACTTTATAAAGGGAGGGTAGCGTGATGAATTGGTTTAACTACCTTGCTCTGCTGGCTGATGCAAGGAGGCTTCAACCGCCACCCCCCACTCCCTGCACCTCCCCAAATCTGCTCTGCAAGATCAGGGGAACCCCAAGAACAGTGTGTGTGTGTGTGGGGGGGAATTGTTCTCCCAGATATGCAGAAATGCTTGTGCACTGACAGAACAATCTCCATAGGGCTGTGTTGGATTCCATCTTGTGCCTCTCAAGAGGAGATGTGTAAAGAGTTTCCTGTGAGCGAGCGCATTGGTGGTTGGTGTAGGTAGGCCCCATTTCCTCCTGCCGATTTGGGTGGTAGGGGAGGACAGGCCTGCACCCTTTTGTGGCTCCCGTCTCTGCTCTTGTAGATGTGGCGGCCATTTTGTGACTGGCGCCCACAGAGCTTTCCTCAACATTCCATATTAGCCCATTGGCCTGAAAAGGTTGGCAACCCTTCATGACTTAAAAAGCACAATCCATTGCTACATGGGCAGGGAAAGGCAAATACCACAATGGGGGCACGTTTTTCTCACTCCCCGGCTAGCTCTTGTCATGCACAAGGACATGAGGTAATCATAATAGCTGTGCCCAGTGGCTTACCAGAAGCCATGGGCAGCAGAACATGAGCACAACAGCCATCTGATCCCAAGTGACTAGTATTCAAAGGCACACTGCCTTAGAATCATGACTGTTATATAGCCATGATGACTAGTAGTCACATAGTCTTATGCGCCATGAACATGCAGTGCTGACTCTCTTACTGAATAGGATCCCTGTGCTGACTTTCAGTTTTGGAGACTCTTGGGCCTCTCCCTCATTTAAGTTCCATGGCAGTCAGGACACTTAACTGCCTGGATCATTCCTAGAATTTTTGTGAATATATTAACTGCTTGCTTTTAACCTTCAAAGGCTGGATATAAAATAGCGTTCTCTTTTTTTCCTTGTAGGATGTATAAAGTGTCATAGCTCATTTTTTTGAATTACCCACTATGGGTACTCAGCTTCTTCCTTGTGGGTTTTTACTCATTCATACCTCTGCTTTGTTTTTGGCAGTGTTGTGGGGGCATTTTGTAGGCTGGTGACTCATAACAGGTCAAAAAACAATCCCAAATAGCCCCGAAACGACATAGTTACAACACAGACAGTTGAAAGCCCTGCAGATGTCTTGTCATGCAAATGATTGTCATGTCTTGTCCATAGTGTGCTGGTGACAACCAGAGACCATGCAGTTACAAAGTAAAAATATTTGGGCAGTCTTCTATTTTATTCCATATTAATTTTAGGTGTTATTGAGAAATAATCACCCAATATTGCTCAGTTTCAAATTCTATGTAAAAATGGAATTCAGTGAGGTAGAAATCCCTCCCTAAAAAACACATTGCAATTGTACAAGCATTCACCCTTCTTTTCCTTTTTTTTGTTTTGTTTTGTTCTGTTGCTGCTTCTGGCTCTTGCTGGTTTGGTGCAATTTGTCCCCCATGGCTGCTGCCTTGCCCTCCTCCTCAGATTGGTCCCATGGGTGTCTCCAGCCAATCAGGTACCATGTAGTGAAAAGGATGACATCACAATCCTGTGTAGCCCATTACTTTTGACTTAAGTAACAAGGCCACTGAGGACAAGCAATGTGAGGGCAATGCCAAGTGAGCAAGTTTACATTCTCAGAAGTAGTAACAACAGCAACAATAATTACTGGAAAATTGCTGGGGAAAGGGGAGCTAGGTTCTATGGGAGTGGAAAAGGGGGCACTTACTTGAAATGTCTATGGCAAAATGTGAGTGGTTCTGGTTGATCAGTAAGCTCTAATTCTTACATTGTAGTTACATGGTATATTTCAAAACTTTCCAGACTGTGGGGCCTTGAAGAAGTTTTTATAAAGCTATTTTCCCGCTGATATTTTGGTTCCTGCAGTGGCTAAAGGTTCTGAGTGAAGAAGACCACAGTGTTACATGTATTTTATAATGACAATTCTATCTCTCAGTGTGCAGCAATCTCAAGTTCTTATAAACCCGTACGTCAATTCATCAGTAGTGCGGCCAACATGGCAACAGGATTTTGAAAACATATTTCCTTGGCATGTACATTAGCACAGCCCTGAAGTTGCCCAGCCTAATATAGTGCTTAATGCCCTTCACCGTGCCATTTTCAGGAAGTCTTAAAGTTGTGAGGTGTGCTTCATTTGTGCAAAAGATCTTGTCTCAGGTCTTCTGGGCTCTGTTTGATGCCTGCCTGCCACTGTTGCTGGTATCCCTTGCTACGTAGATACCAGTCTCCTGGTAGTCTTAGGTCTTCTCTCTACTGCAGCAGAGATTCTGTTGGAAAGCCAATACCTGGTTCCCCACTACTAATGCAAAAGCTGTTCCCCTTTTTTTTACACCTAAGGTCACTTAGAACTCAGCACATGCTACCCTTGTGGATGCTTCAGATCACGGCAATGCCGTGGTGCGTTTGCTACGTTCCCAGCTGCAATGTATATAAATATGTAATATTCCTAGAAGGATGATGATTAGCAGCGTGCTGAGAGTTCCCATGTGAGTCACCATCAGCTGCATGATGATAGCAATCCGTTTGATAAAGACTTCCAAGCAAAACACTGTGACCAGACTGTTGACGAGGACAGACTATATAGTCTGGTGCTATTAACCTAGTGCTCAAAAGCCTGCAGAGGCTGCGTATACACTACTGAGCCGGGTTCGAGGTTCTTGTATTAATTTACAAGGCCCATAATGATTTGGACCCAGGATACCTTAAGGACTGCCCCTTCACTGAGGTCTTTGGGGGAGTAACAGTTTGTGGCCCCAATTCCAGTCGAGCTCAGACAAGCCCCTTCTCTACTGCGCCTCAGGCACCTATTGAAGGCTTCTTTTTAATTTTAGCAGGCATTTTTGTTGAAGTTTGATTTTATAGTTTGAACTGATTTTTATTTTTTTTGTATTCTGTCTTTGTAAACTGCTTAAAAACGATTGTAGTTAAGCAGTATATAAATTGTTTAAATAAAATAAAATAAAAAATGTTAGAGCTGTGGTAGAGAGCTAATTAGGGAGGTTGTTTTTAGTGATCTTCTCATGGGCAGAATAACAAGAGTGCTGCCTCTTGTTGGCGATACCTGATGACCCGCTTTGCTCCCAGAGCAACTGATATTTCCTCCCCTGGTGTAAGGCTTCAGTGAGAGGAGGAAGGGACAAGCGCAGAGCGGGGGACACTCTGTATTTGAATCCCTGTTTGAAATGTTGCTCAGATTCGGCGTTAAGAGTCCAAGTGGTGCCAAGGGAGCTACAAGCTGTAGTCACCGCCTTAAGCATTGTTTGGCTGCCAACACAGATATACAACAATAAACTGGGCATGTGCAGACATATTGAGTAAAAACTGATCTATCTTTAAGTATAAATCTATGTTCATCAAGGAGTGGAACCAGCAGTGGGTCTGTCAGAACCAGGCCATTTTTGTCTCCGTGAGAAAAAGCTAGATTTCCATAGGGACAGAAAGCTTGCATTGCTATACACCAAGCCCCAGCCCAACAGCTGCTGTGACCAAAAGGATATATGCATGTGTAGCGAATGATAATATTTCTATCGATCTACCTCATAATGCAATCTGAGCTCCGGTACTGGAAGAAGAAAGCAGAAAATTAATTACTAGTCTGCATAATGGCAAGGCCCGAGGGAGGACTTTTTACTCAGTCTACCAGTGGTGTGTCTTGGGCCACGAATTTGCTGCATTTCATTTTCCAGGTAGAAATCACCTGGAATTTTGGAATACGCCTCATGTAATTTCTAGCAATAAAAGGATGTCCTGGATCATGTAAGAACATAAGGAGAGCCCAGACAGACCAGCGCAAAGGCTCTATCTAGTCCAACACCCTCTTTCTCACAGTGGCCAACTATGCCCTGGGGAAGTCCGCCAGCTGTGCATTAAGGAAATAGCTTACTACCGCTGTTGTTCCCTAGTGGGTGTGCTGGCACCGAACCTTGTGGTTCTATATGCCCCCCCCCAATGACTGGCAACCATTTAGAGATTTATTGTCAATGAATTTGTCTAATCCCCATGTTAAAGCCATCTAAGCTACTGGCTGCCACCAGGTCTGGTGCGACAGCAAATTGCATAAATTAATTATGTTCTGTGTAAAGGTATACCTCTTTTTATCTGTCCCAGATCTCCTGCTAATCAGTTTAATAGGATGTTCCTTTTCTTATGAGACACTTTCTCCATGCTAGGCATAATTTTATAATTTCTACCATGTGCCCTTCTGCCCTCTGTTGCTTCCCCTGTAAAAAAACAAAAACCCCCCAAAACACATAATTATTCTGTTATTTATTTGTTGGGCATTCCACGACTCCATACGGTGTTAATGTATCCTAAATAAACGTTCCAATAACAGAAAAGGGGGGGGGAGGCAGAATAGTTTTGGGGTGATATGAGGTTGAGTGAGTATCTCCTCATCAACAGCTAACACTAGCAACTTCTGGAGAGAGACGGAGAGTTGGGTATATCAAGCTCTTCTCAACAAAGAATGGTTGCAGAGTATAAATACTACCATTGCACCAAAGAAGGCAGATGCTGTAAATAGTGGAGGAGGTCAACCACATTGCAGACTGTTTCTCAAATCAGGAATAGGCCCTGCTCCACTGACAGCAAACTGGAAATATAAACACAAAATAATTGTCAAATATAAAGGCAAGAGAGAGAGTGAGTGCAGCATTTGTGCAGACTTGGCAATCCAGCGGAGACAGGTTGATTTAAACTTATAGCCACGGAAACCTTCGATATGCTTTACTGCCTCCTTCTACTAGAACTGCACAAAGGAATGTCCTTATTTTGCCGGCACTGTTGCTCGTGTTAAATATTTATCTTGTATTTCTCCCATAGGATTCTGGGGATGTTTAGTTTCGGAGACCTTTCTAACTGTCAGGTTTTTAAATTGAAGTAGTTCCGAAAGCTCTCTCAGTCTACTTTATTTTCAGTTCATTGAAAACCACACTGGAAGTATACCTTATTGGTATTAAACATTCTTAATGCCGTTTTTTGAATCAGAAAAATTTGCTGGGGCATCCAGTGTGGCCTTTTCCTGTTTGAATATAAATGGGACTTCCAGAAGGCCAGGATTACAATAATAAAGTGTTTGATAATGTGCAGAGCAACTTCCCATTATGACTGACTAATCGCATCTAGCCCTTAAATATTTGGGCTTGGGGGTGATGGCGGCTGCCATTGCTTCTAACTCAGTGGAAATGTCTACTAGGCAGGCATGAGAATGCTGAAGTGAAAATTATTTATGCATTTTTGTGTTCTTGCGCGTTTGCCATTATTTTCTTTTGGGTTTCCACGTGAAAAGTTCCTACAGGACCGGGGCAATCCCAGACTCCATAGACCAGATGTGAGGAACCTTTGGGTCTCCAGTTGTTGCTGAATGACAGCTCCCATTATCCCTAGCCATTTGCCATGCTTGCTAGGGTGGATGGAAATTTCACAATAGCAGTGGGTTTGTACAGCACAAAGCTGAAGTAATTCCCTCCCAAGAGAAACTCCTGAGAGGCATAGGATTAGGTGCTGGACCTTCTTACAGTCCTCCTATGGGTAAGGAGTGCAGGCACAGGATAAAATTGGTGTGATTGTTTTATACAGGCTTTATTTAGAGCGTATGAAAATGAGCATCTGTATTTATCAGAACAGCGTTTGTGACCTAACCTGTCTGGTCTTGTGACTGCAATAAAGACTGATTGATTATGACCTAAGAATGAACATATTAGCTACTTGAAAAAGACCCAAGTAGAAGAAATCCAATAATTATTTTATATCCATTTTCAAGGTGTGGCGAGGATACAGAGTCTGTACATGAAGACCAAACAGCCAGTTCCCTTCACAGGTATCTTGCTATTGTGTTTTATAAAAGGAAATAAAATGCAGCAAGCAGATCTCTTTTTAAATTTATCTTAGGGATTTTTCAAGAACCACTTTCTTAGGAATTGCAAACAAAGCATAAATTATTACCAGACAGCAACTCCATAGCTGACCGGAGACTTAAACAGAGGCCTAAACACAATTCTATAAATGTAGGGCAACAATGGTGATAAACTTTATGATAAATACTGGGTTCAGTATCCCCTTACCTCAGCCCATTATTATCCACTAAATGCTGCACAATGTGAGGCAAATTTTCAGATTTTAGCTTGGGCCAAAAATACCCTGAGGAATTTTGCCTAGAATAAAACTTTGCCTAGAACCTGTGAAATCTCTGAGTTTAGTTTCATATGTCTTTAGTAAAAACCTCTGCAAATGAAGGGTCATTACCTTGGGAGTTATCAGATAATACTGTGTCGAAAAGAGAGAGAAACAATATTACGTTCAGATGTTTTGTATGAAAGTAGAATTAGATGCGAGAGAAAGGTATTTGTGAGGACAGGCTATGCTTGCCAGGTTCACAAATTATTACAGGAAGTTCTTTTGGAATTATCCAGTATTTCCCTGAAAATGGCTCATGGACACATGATGTTAAACTGTTAATGCTGAGACGGTCTTATCCTGGTCAGTTGCTGGGATGGGAGACTGCTTAAGGGCCACATGCAAGATGACATGAGTCTTCTGTAATAGTAGTGGTCTGTGCTTTCCCCTCAAAAAACAAAATGTTTAGGGGTACTCTCATTTTGACTCAAGATAATCACCATTTTATAGTTCAAATCAGGAAAAATAAATACACCAAATGGACGAAAGTACAGAGATTCACAAAATGTTTAGGGGTGTGCGTACCTCTGCACCCCCCCAGAAAAAAGCACTAGTAGTGGTATATAAGTTTTGTAAATATCTGTACAGTTTATCTCCCATTAAGCAAAAGCTGGTAAAGTTTTGGGGCCTGCTAGGTCTTGAGAAAACCTCTTCTTTTGTAGTCTCAGGCAGATGACAAAACCAAGAGATTTATCACGTATTTGGTGGGACATGCTACATGTTTAGTGTGCTGTGGTTAACAGCCCAAGGCCCTAGAACCGTGTGTGGCCCTTACTCTAACTATTTGCAACCCCCAGCTTCATTTCTAAAGTCCTCTCTTTGTGATCAGTTCCAGAGGCGGTTTTAGGGTAGCATGGCCAGTGCGGTTACACTGGGAGCCACAACAATGCCATATAATGGAACATGAGAAGTGGGGGTGGGGTGGGGCAAAGTTTAGTGTCACACAGGGTGCCACAGAAATTTGAGAGCCCAAAGTCCACCACTGTCAGTTCAGACATTTTTCCCCCAGCAGCCTGCTAAGTGAGGAGGGGAGATGGAGAGAGATAGAAGGGGTTGGTAGAGAAGGATGACCTCACCCACAGTTCACATGTGGCTCTGGACAGATTGCCCCTCCACAAAAAGGAAGGGAAAAGTCCAATTTGCTCACCCCTAAGTTAAAAGCAGAAGGGACGCGGGTGGCGCTGTGGGTTAAACCACAGAGCCCAGGACTTGCCAATCAGAAGGTCGGTGGTGTGAATCTCCGCAACGGGGTGAGCTCCTGTTGCTCGGTCCAGTGGCGTAGCGTGGGTTGTCAGCACCCGGGGCAAGGCAAGTAATTTGCGCCCCCTAACCCGTGGATTTGCGCCCCCTAACCTGTGGATTTGCCTTAACCCCAGATGTTGCGCCCGGTGCGGCCGGCCCCCCCTGCACCCCCCATGCTACGCCACTGGCTCGGTCCCAGCTCCTGCCAACCTAGCAGTTCAAAAGCACGTCAAAGTGCAAGTAGACAAATAGGTACCACTCCGGTGGGAAGGTAAATGCCATTTCTGTGCTCTGGTTTGCCAGAAGCGGCTTAGTCATGCTGGCCACATGACCCGGAAGCTGTACGCCAGCTCCCTCGGCCAATTAAGTGAGATGAGCGCCGCAACCCCAGAGTCAGTCACGACTGGACCTAATGGTCAGGGGTCCCTTTACCTTTACCTAAGTTAAAAGCAGGTGGTGCTGTGGTCTAAACCACAGAGCCTAGGGCTTGCCGATCAGAAGGTCGGCAGCTTGAATCCCCGCAACGGGGTGAGCTCCCGTCGCTTGGTCCCTGCTCCTGCCAACCTAGCAGTTTGAAAGCACATCAAAGTGCAAGTAGATAAATAGGTACCACTCTGGTGGGAAGGTAAACAGCGTTTTTATGCGCTGCTCTGGTTCGCCAGAAGCGGCTTAGTCATGCTGGCCACATGACCTGGAAGCTGTCTGTGGACAAATGCCGGCTAGAGCAAGATGAGCGCGCAACCCTAGAGTCGTCTGCAACTGGACCTAACGCTCAGGGGTACCTTTACCTTTAAGTTAAAAGCAGCACAGCTGAAGTATATGCTTGAAATGCAAAGGCCACAGATTCAGTTCCTAGCATCTCCAGCTAAAAGGCTCCAACAGCAAGTGTTGGGGGAGGCCGACTGCCTGAGACCCTGGAAAGCTGTTGCCAATCACGTTAGACAGACGGTAGTACTGGACCACATGCACGAGCTGTCAGACCTAATACAGAAACATAGAATTGTAGAGTCGGAAGGGACCATGCGGGTCATCTAGTCCAACCCCCTGCAATGCAGGGATATTTTGCCCGATGTGGGGCTCGAATCCACGACTCTGAGATTAAGAGTTTTAGGCTTTACCAACTGAGCTATCCCAGCATAGGAACGACCTGGTATAAAGCAGCTTCTAAAGTATTAGAGGCCTAAAGTATGGCCTGATTAAGCAAACGCAACCATCTCACTTTTCAGCAATATTTTTTGTAGTTTTAAAAATGTTACATTTGTACGTAGCTCTGCCCTGGAATGTTAATTAAATAGGAGAAAAGGGGGGGGGAAAGCGGGGGGTCTAAACAAAAGTAATCTAAAAATAAATTGTGAGCATGATGTCTTGAGCATTACATTTCTTGCTCACCCGTCACGGTGCCTTTTAAAATTTGCTTTTATTTTCTTCTAGAGATGAAAACAAGGAAAACCACCCAGACAAAGCTATAGTCTTAGAGGAAAACCAGGCAGTGTTCCAAGATACCCAGACACCCTGTGATGGCACATTGAGGGTTGGAATGGGGAACTTAAAATCCAGAAAGCCCACATCCATTTCAAAACCAGAAAATGGGAAAAACCGTGAAGAAAGTCAGGTAATAATAAGCTCTCCTATTTGCGCTATAACTGTATGACGATAGAAGAAATGCCGTTTAAATGCAAAGTGGCGGCATTTTTAATCATTTGGGCAACTGGCTTCCACTGGTTATCAGGGTCGTGTACGTAAGCGACAGGGCCACCAGCCACATTTCAGCTCAACCCACAGGTCATCTGGGAGATAGACTGGAGTCGCTGCACCTCTACAGAATGTGCGACAAAATAGCCCAGCCCAGCCCATGTAGCTCTAGGCTTCCCAGCTGTGTGATTGGTCACAGCCCTTTCCTGTCTCCCTATAGTATTTCCCCTTCCTCTAAGCAGGTTTGTCTGTGCCATAGATTGGGCGATGTGCATCTACGGTGGACATGTGTCCTACTTTATAGAGGACAGTTGTCCACCTGAAGGCCAGGTGAAAGGAAAAGTTCAAAGTCTTACCCAAGTCCAGCTTGGAGAAGTTGCTTTTCGAAATTTAATGTTTGGATATCAGACTGAGCAGGCACACAGGCAGCAGGCACCCCCCACCATTGAAATTATATTATTTATTTCTAAATTTGCATGCACACAGGCAAATTAGCACGCACACAAATTTGATGCAAATAAGCTGTCTCCTTGGTCCTCTTTTTTTTGGTAATGCAAATGGCTGCCCTGTTTCAGACTCTGCTGTCCCTCATCTGCTCTGACTTCGCTTACTAAAGGCTTACTAAAGGCTGCCTGGAACTGTCCCTTGGCCGCCCTTGATCCTTAGCTAGATGTTTTTCCCCAACCACCTAATTGTCTGTGGCCCAATCCTGCAGATACCCAGATTTTGCTCCTGTCTTCCCCAGGGATATTGAACCCCATCTCCCCCCAATCTGTGTGATTGGGCAATCCCGTGCACACCTACCAGGGAGTAACTCTCATGAAACTCAATGATATTTTCAAGTAACATGAGTTGGATTGAGGTGCGTAATATTTCCACTATCATTAAGACCAACTCCAAGGAAGGGCAGTGCAAGGTCAGTTCAAGGACAATAAATTGTCCTAGGCTTTTACTAGCAGTGCAAAGCATTCAAGTCAGGATGGTGGCCCTTTGGTGGATGCATTGGGTGCCAACTTTTTTGGGTGTGTGTGTGAATTGTTTGTACCCATTTATGGGACCTTTATGTCAAGCTAGGATTACTCCTACATATGACTAGGAAGCGATGGGATCGGATGAAGCCCTGAGCTGGTGGGGTTGCTGGCAAGGCCTTAAGATGTCTCAAGCTGGTGCAGCTAGAATTGTGAATCTGGGGTTTTTCTTTAGTCCTTCATGGTCTGGGAGGTTTGGCAATTGGCATGTGTGTGTTCTGCATCTAGTTTGCTATGCAGCTCAAGTATGGAGAGTGCTGTTGTACTTTGTGGGTTTCTTATAGGCTTCTCACTTGGTTGGCCATTGGGAGAATAGGATGTTGGAAGACAGTAACCTTTTATCTGATCCAGCAGGGCTTTTCTTATGTTCTTAAATGCATTGTACCTTCACGATATTTTGTCACAGTGCTATATTGAAAACCAGCTCTTCACCAGAGTTGATGTTCCATCTTGGTATTTTTTTTAATGGTTCAGATTAGTATAGTCGTTAATGGCAAATGCTACAATATATTTTCATGGAACTGAGATAGGATTACTCCAGCACAGAGTACACACTACCTATTACGGTTGATCTGCAATAGCAATCAAACATGTTTTTAATTTATTAATTTAATTTAATTTATATATCGCCTTTCCACAAGCAAAAAGTGCCCAGGGTGGCTAGCAAAAATGAAACAGACCCAAAGAAAACAAGCATGGTAAAATATATCCTAACAAAACCAGAGCAGATAAAAACAAGCCAATGAATTCGTAGCTAATCAAAACCAGCAAAATCTTCTATTAGCTTGATCAGTTCCCTTTGTACAGACTCTCACTTCAGATGGATCTCCTTTGTGTGCAGGCTCCTTTTGTTCTCAGATCCCTCTTGGGCCAATAGGGCTTCCTCTTCCATGGAAGTATAAGGGCAAGCCCTTTATCATGTGCGAGATGTGCTCTTAAAAAACCCTATGTCTGCATGGATTCACTTAAGACTACAGTATTTCTGTTTGAAGTCTGCTGGATGAAAAACAACCATGGAATGTAGGATGAAACTGAGGTGTTAGAAGGCAATGCGTATCGTCCTCCAATTGCACATGTATCATATGCATGGATATAAATATGGATAACGAAATGATTCACTCTTAGATCCTTAATTGGCACAGAGATGAACTTCTAAAATGATACTAAACTCCTTGGTTTAAAAAGGAGAGCAAAACAGAATTTGTTAATTTTTGTCCTAATTGCTAGGATGGAGCACTAAGAAAGTACAGATCTTCAAAGGTGAAGATACTAAGAACCTCTGTTTGAAAGAATATACATAGTTTGATTTAATTTAGGTGGCTGGTGGCTTCCAAACCCTGAACAACTCAACATTTAGGATATGTTTTTAATCATGTGAGGCTGCAGTCCTATTCCCACTTACTTGGGGGCAAGCCCCCCCGAGTTCAGTGAGACTTACTTTGAGTAGACGTGTAAGGGATAGCTCTGTAAGTCAGAGGATTAAGGAAAGGACAGGTAACCTCACTGTAAGGAGGTTTAGAAAGTCTGAAAGGCACATGAAGAAGGGCTTCAGATTATGATCTCAGGTTCCAAGTAGGTTCATATGGAGAGCATTGGTGCTTGAGGTATTGTGGTCCTGAGCCATTTAAGGCTTTATAATAATAATAATTATTATTTATAAGTCAAAACCAGCACTTTGAATTGGGCCCGAAAACTAATTGATAGCTAAGGCAGTTGGATCAAAATCTGTATCTGTACTCAGTGTATTGCATTCTACCAAATTGAGATTATTATGAGATATATATGACGCAAACAGCTATATCGGGACCATATCTATATAAAATAATAAAGTCTACTCCCAGTCACACCGCTCCATTATTCATTGGATGAATGCAGTGTGTGTGCATAAGATAACATCTGAATTGGGGAAATCTGTGTTTTGTGTCAATCAGTGCGTCTGATTTCCTTCAGTCTTGGACTTTGACTATAGAATTTTCTAATACTGGACTTAAGGAATGCACAAAACCCCATGAAGCAGCAATGCTAGCACGTCCCTGGGAGTCATGGTTGATCTGCAGCTTGCACGTTACCCAAGCAATTCCATTGATTAGTCATATTGATTAACACTTTCAGCCCGACAAATAAAAGATCAGCTATGGACGGAGGGGTGAAAGCCAAGCTCTCACCTCTTTATTTCAAGGGCATGCTATCTGGCATGCAGCGTTAAACCCTTTTAAGTGGGAGCCATTGCAGGCTGGAGTACAATTGATTTGATGTGAATGTGAGCTCGGGAACAAAGATCGTTGCAACTTTGATGTGCTTCACGATTTATTTTGTCTGGGTCAGTGAATTTGGCAATTTGTAGTGCAAGCACCTCAGGGCAGGGACTTGTCTGTTGGCTGCTGTGTAGAACACCATGGAAGCTGATCATGTGAAGGACCATTTAAATAAAATAGCAGCAGTTGCTTAGTGTGGTAGGCCTGAGATGCAGGAGTCCCTGAGAAATGATCACATGCCATATGAACGGCTAGGGTGGGGACGACGACTTCCCTCCAGAAATAGAGCCTTGGGAGGTCTCCTTTCTTAATCCTTACCGTTAGACTAATGTATTGGGCTGTACTGGCTCCCAGCCTCTAAGCACAACAGCTATCTCTAGCTAATTTCCTGTCTACAACAATAAAATATGTTCTCCTGAATTAAAAGAAAAATACGCAGTGGGAAGCAATCGAGCGTTAATATCTGGTCTCTGATCAAACAAATCCTGGCTTGTGAAGGAAAGAAAACTGCTGTGATCTATGGTTTCTCCAAACCTCATGGGTGTGTGTTTGTAAGATCCACAAAATAATGTTGCAGTATCTTGCTTTCTGACTGTGTTGCTAAGAGGCCTTGCCATGAGACTGTCTCCTTTGTGTGTTGCCTCAGAAAGTCAGAGGCTTCGTTATCACCAACAGTGGTACAGGTATCTATATCACTTCAGGCTGGCAGACCCTCAAAGTGTCCCCATTTTCCAGGGACAGTCGTGCATTTACAGAAGCTGACCCAGTTTCTGCTCTTATCTCGGAATGTCCTGCTTTTCCTTAGGACGTCCTTTTTTTTTCATTGGAGAAATGTTGGAGGGTATGGAATAGAAGTGGGGCTCACATGATAATATGCTCCGATAATAATAAACAAGCAAGCAAGCAAACAATTAGGATAGTTGATAATAACAAAAGTAACCATGGTTAATAATAACAGTAGATAACAACAACAGCAACCATAAAAACAACAACAATGATCCATGCACATAGAAATCTAGCATACAGGGTGAGGCCAGAGCTGCCTGTTTTCTTGAGAGCTGATTTTCTCTGTATAAATAAGTGTGTGTGACAGGAACAGAGCAAGAAAGCATTTGGTTACCAGCGTTGTGAAATGCTGCAGCCCAGACATGGGTTTTTAATCACCTCATTGAGAATTAGTATTGAGCAGGAAATTTTGACCCTGACTCAAAAAGTGCTGATATTTAACCTAATTGAACACATTGAACATAAAAGTCTCAGTCTCCTTTGGGCTTCAGCTTTGGAGTTATGTTGACAAACTCTGGATTCCCCTTTCCAGCTCTTCTCCCTAGGCTGCTTGTGTCCCTTGCTGTTCTCTTCCCCTTAAGCTCCTGCTTCTTCAGTCACCAGCTGAGCCATAGGCCAGCCAATGGCAGCTGGGCAATCTCCTGCCTGCCCTTGCTTCTCTATGGCATTAAAACAACCTCATTATGGACAGAAACTTTAACCCTACCACCAGAAACACTTGGTGCACCACAAAACTGGTTTTCAAACTGCGCCGAGGAACTTAGAGGTTCATTGGAAAGCTGATACTCTCCGATTGCATGGAGCCCGGACAGCCCCGTGGTTTTCTTCGGAGCTGAGGGCGATGAAACAATCGCTGAGACGGCTAGAGCGTCGGTGGCAGAAAACTCACTCCGAATCTGACCGGACACAGGTTAGAGCTCAACGTCGAGCCTACCAAGTGGCGATAGCGACGGCGAAGAAGACTTTCTTCACCGCCTCTATTGCATCTGCAGAAAATAGTAGCAGGAGACTCTTTCAGGTGGTCCGCAATTTAACGGAACCACCTTTAACACCGGGGCCTTGTAAAGACCCCAAGATCTCCTGCAACGATTTTGCAAAGTTTTTTGCAGATAAAATCACTCATATTCGGAAGGAGCTAGACACCACCGTGGGAGCAGGGCTGGGACGGGAGAGTGCTAGAGCTCTGTCTGGTCAAGTTGCATGGAACCAATTTCAAACCGTTACCCCCGAGGATGTGGACAGGCTGCTTGGACGCGTGAAACCAACCACCTGTCTCCTTGATCCTTGCCCATCCTGGCTAATAAAAGCAAGCCGGGAAGGGCTGGGCGATGGGCTCTGCGGGGTGGTGAATGCTTCCCTCTGTGAGGGAACATTCCCAGATCCGCTGAAAGAGGCGGTCATTAAACCGCTTCTTAAAAAACCATCTTTAGACCCGGCCAGTATGGCCAACTATCGCCCAGTCTCAAATCTTCCATTCTTGGGCAAGGTGATTGAGCGTGTGGTTGCTGAACAACTCCAGGCACGCCTGGAGGATGCGGACCATTTGGATCCCTTCCAATCGGGGTTCAGGCCTCATCATGGGACTGAAACTGCCTTGGTCGCACTGGTTGATGATCTCCGGCGAGCTAGGGAAAAAGGTGAGAGCTGTTTCCTAGTTCTGCTGGATCTCTCAGCGGCCTTTGATACAATCGACCATAACATCCTTCTGGACCGTCTAGAGGGGTTGGGAGCTGGGGGCACTGTTATACAGTGGTTCCGCTCCTTCCTCCTGGGCCGTGTTCAGAAAGTGGTGGTGGGGGATGAGTGTTCAGACCCTTGGGCCCTCACTTGTGGGGTACCTCAGGGTTCCTTCCTCTCCCCCATGCTTTTTAACATCTATATGAAGCCGCTGGGAGAGATCATCAGGGGGTTTGGACTGGGTGTCCATCAATATGCAGATGATACCCAGCTCTACCTCTCTTTCAAATCAGAGCCAGTGAAGGCGGTGAAGGTCCTGTGTGAGTGCCTGGAGGCGGTTGGAGGATGGATGGCGGCTAATGGGTTGAAGTTGAATCCTGACAAGACAGAAGTACTGTTTTTGGGGGACAGGGGGCGGGCTGGTGTGGAGGACTCCCTGGTCCTGAATGGGGTAACTGTGCCCCTGAAGGACCAGGTGCGTAGCCTGGGAGTCATTTTGGACTCACAGCTGTCCATGGAGGCGCAGGTCAATTCTGTATCCAGGGCAGCTGTCTACCAACTCCACCTGGTACGCAGGCTGAGACCCTACCTGCCCGCAGACTGTCTCGCCAGAGTGGTGCATGCTCTAGTTATCTCCCGCTTGGACTACTGCAATGCGCTCTACGTGGGGCTACCTTTGAAGGTGACTCGGAAACTACAGCTAATCCAGAATGCGGCAGCTAGACTGGTGACTGGGGGCGGCCGCCGAGACCACATAACACCGGTCTTGAAAGACCTACATTGGCTCCCAGTACGTTTCCGAGCACAATTCAAAGTGCTGGTGTTGACCTTTAAAGCCCTAAATGGCCTCGGCCCAGTATACCTGAAGGAGCGTCTCCACCCCCATCGTTCTGCCCGGACGCTGAGGTCCAGCGCCGAGGGCCTTCTGGCGGTTCCCTCATTGCGAGAAGCAAAGCTACAGGGAACCAGGCAGAGGGCCTTTTCGGTAGTGGCGCCCGCCCTGTGGAATGCCCTCCCATCAGATGTCAAAACGATAAACAACTACCTGACATTCAGAAGACATCTTAAGGCAGCCCTGTTCAGGGAAGTTTTTAATGTATGATATTTTAGTGGGGTTTTTGGTTTCCATGGAAGCCGCCCAGAGTGGCTGGGGAAACCCAGCCAGATGGGCGGGGTACAAATAATAAATAATTATTATTATTATTATTATTATTATTATTATTATTATTATTATTCCTGAGTTGGAAACTCTGTAATGGTGGGCAAGCTTTTCAGAAATTCACTTGTCCTCTTTGGTCCTCCTTCCCTTTCAAGTGCACAACTATGTAGGGTAATGATGGGGTGTTTCTGATCTAAGGTATGCTCACGTCCTATGGAGCAACGGTGAGGTCCAACAGGTGCGGCCAGCACCCTCTCATGTACATTTTCACACATATAACGGGGGTTCTGTAGCAGATGAGTCAAAGTGGGAAGGACACCTTCAAGATGAAGAGTGTTAAAAAAAGCAACAACAATTCATTACAATATAGGTAGCCTGAAACAGAAGCTGGGTGGCTTCAGACAAAATCTCCTTTAAAATGAGAAAGTGACAGAGAGTTACAATAATAGCACTTATACTGCATGTAGGTGTGTCTTGGGGACTCTTCCCCACCCCACCTGTCCTCATTACAATCTTTGCATCAGGTTGCTGCCATTGCATCGAGACAACGTTTAGTACAGTCCCTTCTTGGGCCCCTCATTTCTCCTCCCCTTCTCCAGATGAGCTTTGATTACACACTTACATCCCCCCCCCTCCCAAAATAGACAGCTGACACCAGTCCGGCCACTGTTTACTTGAGTGGGTTGCATTTGTCGATTTGTTTGCTTGTTTGTTTATTGCAGGAGATGGGAAATGCATTGCCGTGGCTCTCCGACTGTCAGAGGAAAACGGGAACGCCGGCTAATGATTACACCGAGAACGTGGCATTCAGATACCAGGAAACCGTCATCAAGTTTCAACCCAGGTATTCTCTTCCAAGTAAACAAATCTTGTTCACTTCTCTTTAACTCTAAATCAGGGCGGACACCTGCACTTCTCTGTTTGCAAGCTGGCATAACTTGTTATCCACTCAGTCAGACATAGCCAGCCAGCCATGGTTGGTACTCCCCTGGGTGCCTAACACTTTTTTCCAGTCTCAGACAGGCAGCAAAAACCGATTTATTGAGCCCCCTGTTGGCTAACCCATACATGGCTGCTGGATCATAAATTTTGCAGGTCTGCTCCCATCAGAAACAAGGTTTTGGAAAAAGAAAAAACACAGCTGAAAGATGAAATTCTATGCTAAGGTAACCCAAGTTCTTTGTTTAGAAAACCTGAATTCAGCAACATTGGAAATTATGCTTCATTATTTTCTCTCATAGAAGCTAATTGAAAGCACTTACTTCTGTGGTAAAAGTAAGCACAGTCTGTGCAACTGATAGGCACTTCGCTAATGAAAACAAATGTGTTATTCTTTGCTCAGTTTCCTAATAAAAACAAATGTGTTATTTTTGCTCAGTTCTTTGTATTCTTACTAACCGTGACGAACAACTGCTTTTGCTCAAGTGGGAATTAATCTCACACTTATTTGGATAACTATCTTATAATTCCACCACCTTGTCAAAATTGATAACTATTTCAAAGACAAATTGGATCAAGTTTCAAATTTTTCAAGACATTCTAAAGTTCAAACCAGTCTCTATGCCATTCACACAAGTACCAGTTGTGTGAATCTTTCTTTTTTCTTTCTTAGTCTAACTAGTGCACCACAAGACCAACTATCTGGGTTGGGGCCCTGGCACAGGAAGATTAAGGTGGTTTATCCATTTGCTATGGTACCAGTCTAGATCAAGGGCCCCACAACTGCTATTTGAAATGTGGGGGAATCCTCCTAATGGTGTCAGTGGAAACTTTCCACTCAGTGCTGACAAGCAGGCAGCAGGGGTCTGATCTGGATTGGGAATGCCACACGGAGCTCTCTGCATGCTTTTTACGCTAAAAAGTCACTCGCTTAATTGCCATCATTGTGTGGTTCATGTCTAGTTTGGGCCTTAGAAAAAAGGAAAACTAGGTGGCATTCTTAAGAGTGCCACAGTGGGTTCTCCTCCTGCAGTGTGTGGCTTTGTGACACATGCAAGCACACACAAAGATACATGTGTAAGCTGAATCGGCTCTCCATCTTGCCCCAGTCCTTGTTCTTGAGGTGGGCAGTCCACCTTTAAAAACACTTCAAAGTGGCACCTACAATTACCCTCCCAATTTTCATGTTGCAGGACAGATCAGAGTGCATTCATTTCACCAAAGGATGGCACTGAACATTTCCAGAACTTCAGTGAGGTAAGTTTATCAGTGACCTTAAAAGCCTGCTATAGGATGCTGTGGGCATCTTTATTTAAGGAAGTAAAAGAGACAAAGGGCCGGTTTGCACTTGCATGCCCCCCATGCGTCCCTTTATGACTGTACGGATAATCTGTTAGAGACGAGTGATGGGAAGCACCTTTGCCAGAGATCTTGGAGAGCTGCTTTCAGATATAGATAATAATGGGCTAGATAGACAAATAGTCTTACTTGGCATAATGCAGCACTCTCCCCCCCCCCAAATCTCATTTATTTATTTATTTATTTATTTATTTATTTATTTATTTATTTATTATTTATAACTTAACCTTCACCTGTACAGCTAAAAGGGCAGGAACAGGACATAAACAAGTAACAACCAAAGTATACAAGAGACAACAAAGCCTTATACTATGCACCATCAAAACAAGCAAACACAGCTTAAAAATAGCAGGGAAGGCTAAACCGTCACCAGCGCGAAAACCTTAAAAGTCCTGTGCAAACGAATATAAGTATTAACCAGGGGCCAACATGGTAACAATGTCAGTTCTAGTTATGAGGAGGGTGTTCCACAGAGAAGCAGTAGTGACTGGTGGGGCAGTGTGGGTACCAGTCTGTTGCTGTCCTGGCTACCCAACACCACAGGCCACTGTTGCTTACTGAGAGGAAGAAGGGAGAGGGATGAGGCCCGGGCAGCTTGTTGTGGTGCGACAGGTGGTGGTGGAACCAGTCCAACACTCCTGTGACTAGTGCCAGGCTCTTCACACCCTGCCCCTTCCCTCTTGGTAGGTGGCTGTGGCCTGCAGTGCTAGGAAGCCAGGAGAACAAGACTCTCTTCCCCATCACCATGTAGCAAGCCATCTCCAAGCATCCTCTGAAGAACTCAGAGACATGAGCAGGCTGGTATAGGGAGAGCCACACTTCCAGGCGTTTGGGTCCCAGATAGCGGTTCAAATGGTCAGATTTCAGTGAGCTTGGTTCACGCTTTCATTGTCAGTCAAATTATAAAGAGGGCAAGGGATGTGCATGCATGTATGAATCGGCCTAATTTATTTGAAGGCATTTGCTTCAAAACACTTAATTCTGGAGTACGTGTGGTAGTCCTGAAAGGAGGCAGTAGCTCTGCATTATGACCCGAATGTACATGTACTTAGTAAAGAGTAAAGGCCATCATTGACAGCATTGCTTTTCTTACATGCATTGGAACATTCCAGAGATTTGCATCATAGCTGCTTACTCCTTTAGCCTAGTGATCGGTGTCCGTACAAATTATTTTGTTTTGTGCTGCTTATATGTCTGTCAGCTACAAAGGCTGATCAGTAAAGGGAGGGTCAAAAAGAGCCACTTCCTCTTCATCAGGCAGTCACTGTGGATGGTAATTGGCTAGTAGAATGCTCTTCTTACTCTTGAGAGCCAGCTCTGTATTAAGCTCAGCGAGTAAGCAGAAAGCTTGGTGGCAAGTGTGGCAATTGGTTAGCAGTTGAGATGGTGGCACTGCTACTCTGAAGAAATTGGGGAGAAACTTTGGGCTCATCCATACTTCCGTTTATCCTGTGCCGAGAAAGATGGATCTGAGCGTTTTCCTGCTTGTCCCATGCTTTCCGAGCAGTTTTCTGTTTGGCCCGCAACTTCCCCCTGGAAAACACACTCTTTACTGCTGAATTGGAACTAATAATAATAATAATAATAATAATAATAATAATTTATTATTTATACCCCGCCCATCTGGCTGAGTTTCCCCAGCCACTCTGGGTGGCTCCCAATCAAGTGTTAAAAACAATACAGCATTAAATATTAAAAACTTCCCTAAACAGGGCTGCCTTCACATGTCTTTTAAAGATAGGATAGTTGCTTATTTCCTTCACATCTGAAGGGAGGGTGCTCCACAGGGTGGGTGCCACTACCGAGAAGGCCCTCTGTCTGGTTCCCTGTAACCTCACTTCTCGCAATGAGGGAACCGCCAGAAGGCCCTCGGCGCTGGATCTCAGTGTCCGGACTGAATCATGGGGGTGGAGATGCTCCTTCAGGTATACAGGACCGAGGCCGTTTAGGGCTTTAAAGGTCAGCACCAACACTTTGAATTGTGCTCGGAAACATACTGGGAGCTAATGCAGATCTCTCAGGACCGGTGTTATGTGGTCCCGACGGCCACTCCCAGTCACCAGTCTAGCTGCCGCATTTTGGATTAATGGTAGTTTCTGGGTCACCTTCAAAGGTAGCCCCATGTAGAGGATGCACCACTCTGGTGAGACAGTCCGCAGGCAGGTAGGGTCTTAGCCTGCATACCAGGTGGAGCTGGTAGACAGCCGCCCTGGACACAGAATTGACCTGTGCCTCCATGGACAGCTGTGAGTCCAAAATGACTCCCAGGCTGCGCACCTGGTCCTTCAGGGGCACAGTTACCCCATTCAGGACCAGGGAATCCCCCACACCCGCCAGCCCCCTGTCCCCCCAAAACAGTACTTCTGTCTTGTCAGGATTCAACCTCAATCTGTTAACCGCCATCCATCCTCCAATGGCAATCTGTGGAACCACCCAATTGCTATTTGGTCCGATTCAGTAGTAAACCATGGGTTTCTCCAGGCGAAAGTGGCAGGTCAAAGAGAGGTGCGGACAAGCCCTTCTTTGCACTCCTGTAACTTGGTTGCCCTTGCGCTGTTTTAAATTACATGTGGTTCAAAATTAGTCCTGGGATGGCCTCCTTTTGTGACATTACGCACCATACAAACCATGTGTTATGCGTTGCCATGCCACCCACCTCGTGACACGCATGCAGATAAATTAGCTGCCACTACTTGTTTATGGTTCTGGTTTGGTTCTATTCTGAAAACTGAGATGCCTTTGAAAATCAGAAGCATTTGTAAGCTTAGAACATTGTAAAGGTACAAGGGCAAGATTGCTCAAGGTAGACGAGAGACCTTGTTAAGCTGGGGGGAGGACGTGCAGATGTTATGTGCTGATAATAGCAGAGCGTAGAAGAACAAAAGAGGCAAAACTATAATGAAAGAAAATCAAGACTGGTGACTAGCAAAACAGTAGGATCAAAATGTCTTGCTGAAGAGTAAATCTGAGAAGCTTTTTAAAATATAATGATAAGATTGCCTACTTTATCAGGCAGTGGGAAACATATTAGGCCAAGAGGATATAACTGAGCGAATTTATGCTCTGATGATTATAACAGTGTACTACTGTTGCCCTGGGCAAGACTACCATCATGAAGGAGGTTGACTAAAGGCATATTTGCACCAGATTCAGCATTGTGGCAAGCCTGCATAATAAAATAGGAGTGATCTGGCACAACAGAACCCTGCTCTAGATTTGCCCTGCCTGTAATGCAGTTGTGGGCGCAGGACCACTATGGGCCAAAGCAGCACTTCTCAAACTTCTTTTTCATAGGACACATCACCTCCCCCCCCTTTTGGTCCCCCCCCCCAAAAGCATATAGGTAACTCATATTTTAAAAAGGTACTCTCTAGTGCAACGAATAAGAAAAAATAAAATACGCCGCCCCCTTCAGCACTGAGTTCATAACTAACACCAAACCAGGTATGTATTATGAAAATTATGTGGCCCTTCCCAGGCCATGCTACACAGAAGGGCCCCCTTAACTGGTACATTTTATAAAAAGGAATAATTAGTAGAATGCACTAGCACCGTATTATGAAAATCACTGGCCCTAGGCCAGGACCTTAATGCTAGTTTGATAGTCTGACTTTGACCATCATCATCACCATCGTAAAAAATAAATCAAGTTCAGGGCCAAGTATAAATATCCTTAGCTGTTGCCGACCTTTCCACTGAGCCCCTAAATGGAGCTTGTTGACCACCAGGGATATACTTTGAGAAGCTTTGGGCTCAAAAGTTTGGGGTATATAGACTGCAGGTGCATCTCTACCCTCAAAAGCCTCTGCTTTAAATGGAGAGGTCCCTGTGGCACCACAGTACGTCCCTTACCCTAGACATTGAGCTTGAGCAGAAAAATCCAAACCATGCACCATGGTAACTTAAATTCAGTGCCAAGAAAATCTTTATAGTTCTGCGTCTTGTATAACACATGCAGCATTCTGGGCTTGCTGGTATTTCTCAGCACCAAATAAAAATGTATTTCATTTTGTGAGAAATCGGCAAATGCAAAACAAACGTTCAGTTATTGACCTTAGAAATTGTGGGGAAAGGGCAGATTCATAGATCTCCTACATTTCTTTAAGGGTACAGCAAAACCGGGTGGTAAGGAAATTCAGAAACTCTCCACTTTTATGCTTGTGTTGTAATATGTGTAGCTTAATGGTAGTGGATAAAGTTGTAGTCTAAGTTATGAGCACAGAAGCATGGAATGCAAAATTGAATTAATGAAACACTTCTTTAAAAAAATAGCACACTTGCTTGGTTTATATACTTCATGGGGGCAAAGCACTATCCAAGAGTATTGAAATCCATCTTGTAATAGCTAGAAGTCTTATTCTGTCTCCCTTCTCTAACATCTGGTGTTTTGCCAGGCAGCGTCCACCCACTTTCAAGCTATCTTAAGGGCCGGAAACATCCGTTTTAAAAAAAGAAGTGAAAGCTTATGATTTCTTACTGCTTGCGTCTGTACCCAGCACAAGTCCTGTGCTTAGGTGGTGTAATTGCAGAATACATCCTGCCTTGACAATGATGCTTCTGCACCCAGTTCTGCAGACTCTCGCAATATTGCTTTGCAAGCACTTAAATGGAACAAAGAGTTTCGGATGAAATATAAGTCAAAATGATGCCTTTGAAAAGAGCATGATTGCTGCCACAGTTCTGCTTGTGAATCATATTCTGACGTGCATTAAGTGAACGAGTTGCCTTCAAGAGCCCACTCTTGCAATTTAGTATACTGCGGAGCCTTTCCCTGCTTTATTTGGATCCGCCTTTCCGTTTGGTCTGTTGTTTATTGGGATCAGTAGTTGAAGTCCAGAAATGTTATAGTCTAAATGAGCTGTCTGCTAGACAGAAGAATCACATGGAGTGGCTTAGAC